ATTGTGTAAAAAAAAAAAAAAAAATACTGATCACTTCCCCAAAGTAGTACAATGTTACTATGGTAACATTGTACTACTTTGGTCAAAGTGAAATATGAAAAAAAAAATCTTAAAAGAAAAAAAATGTAATAAAAAATTAAAAATAATACAATTTTATTTTTATTTATTTATTTTTTTTCATACTGTCACCAGTCAGTGTCTCTGATCACCACCATGCCAGTTATATAATGACGCTGTACTGCACTGGTGACAGTATGTAAAAAAAAAAATTGTGAAAATAATTTTTTTAATTTTCCGAAAAATTATGACAAAAAAATGCAACTTCAAAAAACTCGCCATGCCTCTTATGAAGTACGTCGGACTGTCTATTTTGCAAAAAGGGGTCATTTGGGGGATATCTGTACTCTTCTCACATTCTTGGACCTCAAGAAATTAGATTGGCTATCAGTACTTCAGGATTGATCAATTTTCAGATCTATACCATAGTTTGTGAACTCTATAACTTTCCTACAAACTAAAAAATACATCCTAATTTGGGTTATTTTCACCAAAGACATGTAGCAGAATACATTTTGGCCTAAATTTATGAAGAACAATTTATTTGCAAACTTTTATAACAGAAACAAAGAAAAATGTGGGTTTTTTTTTTTCAACATTTTTGGTCTTTTTTTGTTAATTTAGCAAAAAATAAAAACCCCAGCGGTGATTAAATACCACCAAAAGAAAGCTCTAATTATGTGAAGAAAATGATAAAATTTTAGTTTGGGTACAGTGTTGTATGACCTCGCAATTGTCATTCAAAGTGTGAGAGCGCTGCGACCTGAAAAATGGCCTGGGAGGGAAGGGGGTAAAAGTGCCCGGTATGGAAATGGCAAGTGCTTTTATGGCTTCTTCCCACCCTGTAAATTAGTATGATATCTATTAAAAGGGAAATATGTGATCTTCCCAATTTTGTACATATACATGTAAAAGAGTTTGTTCTAAAAAATGTAATTGTTTTTAAAACAATGTTTTAAGCAGTACTAGGGATGTTGGTTCAAATCCCAGCCACAGCACCACCTGCCTGGAGTTTGCATGTTCTCCCTGTGCCTGTGTGAGTTTCCTCCGGGTACTCCAGTTTCCTCCCACACTCCAAAGACATGCTGGTAGGTTAACTGGATCCTGTCTAAATTGGCCCAAGTATGTGTATGTATGAATGTAAGTTAGGGACCTTAGATTGTATCCCCTTGAGGGTTAGGGACTGATATGAATGTCCAATATATATGTAAAGTGCTGTGTAACTTGACGACGCTATATAAGTACCTGAAATAAATAAATAAAAATAAAATAATTAAAGAAAAATTAGGGATCTTATTGCACTGGGGTTAAAGAGAATGATAATTTTATCTCTAGTTCCTGATTTAATTTGTGATTTTATTATGACATATTTTTTTCTTCCTAATTTGGATAAGATTATCAATCCAAAAACAGATGATCAGCGACAAAGACTGCAAGAAGCTTGCAAAGATATCCTTCTGTTCAAGTGCTTAGATCAAGTAAGTATTTTGCTTTTAGTATTTTAAAAATAAAATGTAAAAAGTGTACAACAATATCAATTTAGAAGAAATGTAGACCCTTATAAGGTATCCCTACTTTTTCATAATTATGGGACTTGTATGACCAAATAGACCTGACATCAATACCAAAAGTAGAATAGCTATTACCAAGGCAGGTCACTCCAAGAAGATTTTCGGTGGTAATTCAGACAAGAGTTAAAAAAACAAAATTGTTGCAAAGACTATAATAGAAAAGGACAATGCTTTTATGGGCAGCATGGGGTACGTATTTCTTTATTGTTTATAAGGGGACACAGGATCAGAAGTAATGGTTATACTGCTGCCTACAGGAGGAATGGGACCCCAAGCAAACAAAAAAAATTAACAAATCAGGTGTAACCCCTCCCACATCTTTTCTGTATTGAGAAAATGTTAACACTTATTAGATATTTTTGCTTTTTTATTTTATTAAAGTAGTTGTAAAGCTTCCTTTTTGTATTTCAATGGTTTTTATTAATTTATAACAATTAACACAGGAGCAACAAAAAGCTTCCTTTTTTAATTAAAATAATAAACATGTCACACTTACCTACTTTGTGCAGTGGTTTAGCACAGAGTAGCCCTGATCCTCCTCTTCTTGGGTCCTCCTCCAGTGCTCCTCCTCTACATCCAGTGCTCCCATAGGAAGCAGCTTCCTATGGGGGCACTTGTGCAGGCTCGTGATGGGGCTCAGGTAAATATAATCCATACATTTGTGTTCTCCCAATGTGACTACTGCAATGCTCTACTCGTTGGTGTACCTAAATCCCTATTAATCGACTACAATATGTACAAAATTCTACAGCCAGAATCCTCACTAGGTTGGGTACAGGTGACCATATTACCCCTATCTTGGAGTCCTTGCACTGGCTACTCGTCAGGTTTCGCATAGACTTTAAGATCCTCTTGCTCACCTATAAGGCTGTTCATGACTTGGCACCCCATGATCTGCCTGAACTTTTATCTACTCACCCCCCCTTATAACCTCTGCTCCTCATATTCTGGTCTTCTGTGTATCCCTCCTACTTACCTACACTCGATAGGAGACAGAGCCTTCTCCTGCTATGCTCCAAAACTCTGGAATTCACTTCCACAGAGTCATCTTCTCTAAACTCATTCAAATCAAATCTAAAAACTTTTTTCTTTAGACAAGCTTTCACTTAGATGTCCTTTTTTCTTCTGTGTCTTATACTATGTATTTCTTGTGTTTTCTTTGTAGAGCGCTTTGAGAAGCTATCTTTGAAGGCGCTATATAAAATAAAGTTTATTATTATTATGGGGCTGCCGGGGGAATCCCAGGCACAGAAGGTTTTTTTACCTTCGTGCATAGGGGACATGCACAGGCTTCATCCCTCTGTGTTTATGATATACTCCTAATACCACTGTAATACCAGTGTCCAGTTCCTCCTGTAGGCAGCAGTATAACTCAGTTGTCTTTGCATTACTTCTCATCTAGTGTGTCGTAATGAACTGTATTTTTGTACTTTTGGTTTGGTTCATTATATTCATGAATAAGTGAAAATGCAGAACATAAAACAATTAAAAAGGCATCTTATATATTTTTTTGCTTTTATTTTATACGTGATTTCTATAAGGCTTCATTCACTCGACCATAATAAAACAAACATACAAGTGTTTTTTTTAATAACAATACTGTATGAATGCAGCTGCATTATTTTCAATGCAGCCATTCATACAGGTGTGTAAACATGAGCTGTTTTCAGATCCATAACATGAAATCCAAAAATCTGCATCCAAGAACATGCTCTTTATGTTTTTACTCATATATACGCATGTATTCACATTTATAAGTTAGTAAATTTAAGTCTAAACAAAGGGGAAAAAAGAATTATCATGAAAACAAATTATGTATGCTTACACATCTTTACGCATTTAAATGCATCTGTAAGCAGGAATTTTACTGATCATTACTCAGGAACTTTTCTCCTAGCAAATACATGTGTAATGACATCAGAAAAATGTTCACGGCCAAATGATTGAGGCCTAGTGGTAAGTAGAGAGTAAAACTTTCTTTAAATGTAGTTAAAAGAGAAGTATGGGCTTTTGAAAAGAAAACCCAAAACATTATACTCACCACTTAACAAAAATAGAATGTGATCTGATGCACCCAGTGATGTGCCTCCATCCCTTAATATTCATACAACCAATTTACCATATTTTTCGCTCCATAAGATGCACCTGATCATAAGACGCACCGAGGTTTTAGAGGCGGAAAACAAGAAAAAAAAATATTCTGAACCAATGGACTACAGACATAGTACAGGAGATAACTAGAGACTGCAGACAGTACAGGAGATGACCAGAGACTGCGAACGTAGTACAGGAGATGACCAGAGACTGCGGACATAGTACAGGAGATGTCCAGAGACTGCGAACACAGTAGAGGAGATGACCAGAGACTGCGGACACAGTACAGGGGATGACCAGAGACTGCAGACACAGTAGAGGAGATGACCAGAGACTGCGGACACAGTACAGGGGATGACCAGAGACTGCGGACACAGTAGAGGAGATGACCAGAGACTGCGGACACAGTACAGGGGATGACCAGAGACTGCGGACACAGTACAGGAGATGACCAGAGACTGCGGACACAGTAGAGGAGATGACCAGAGACTGCGGACACAGTACAGGGGATGACCAGAGACTGCAGACACAGTACAGGAGATGACCAGAGACTGCAGACACAGTACAGGAGATGACCAGAGACTGCAGACACAGTACAGGAGATGACCAGAGACTGCAGACACAGTACAGGAGATGACCAGAGACTGCAGACACAGTACAGGAGATGACCAGAGACTGCGGACAGTACAGGAGATGACCAGAGACTGCGGACAGTACAGGAGATGACCAGAGACTGCGGACAGTACAGGAGATGACCAGAGACTGCAGACACAGTACAGGAGACAGTACAGGAGATGACCAGAGACTGCAGGGGGACAGTACAGGAGATGACCAGAGACTGCGGACAGTACAGGAGATGACCAGAGACTGCGGACAGTGCAGGGGATGACCAAGAGACTGCGGACAGTATAGGGGATGACCAGAGACTGCGGACAGTGCAAAGGGATGACCAGAGACTGCGGACAGTGCAGGGGATGACCAGAGACTGCGGACAGTGCAGGGGATGACCAGAGACTGCGGACAGTGCAGGGGATGACCAGAGACTGCGGACAGTGCAGGGGATGACCAGAGACTGCGGACAGTGCAGGGGATGACCAGAGACTGCGGACAGTGCAGGGGATGACCAGAGACTGCGGACAGTGCAGGGGATGACCAGAGACTGGGACAGTGCAGGGGATGACCAGAGACTGCGGACAGTGCAGGGGATGACCAGAGAGTGCGGACAGTGCAGGGGATGACCAGAGAGTGCGGACAGTGCAGGGGACTGCGGACAGTGCAGGGGATGACCAGAGACTGCGGACAGTGCAGGGGATGACCAGAGACTGCGGACAGTGCAGGGGATGACCAGAGAGACTGCGGACAGTGCAGGGGATGACCAGAGAGTGCGGACAGTGCAGGGGATGACCAGAGAGTGCGGACAGTGCAGGGGATGACCAGAGAGTGCGGACAGTGCAGGGGATGACCAGAGAGTGCGGACAGTGCAGGGGATGACCAGAGAGTGCGGACAGTGCAGGGGGATGACCAGAGAGTGCGGACAGTGCAGGGGATGACCAGAGAGTGCGGACAGTGCAGGGGATGACCAGAGAGTGCGGACAGTGCAGGGGGGGATGACCAGAGACTGCGGACAGTGCAGGGGATGACCAGAGACAGTGCGATGACAGTGCAGTGGGGATGACCAGAGACTGCGGACAGTGCAGGGGATGACCAGAGACTGCTGATCTTTGGGGAGGGAAGGGGAGCGGGTACCTGAATTTGACAGGTACCCACTCCCACTTCCGCGGAGTTGTCCTCCCTTTAGTATGGGCACCCGGCAGACAGCCAGGTGCCCAGTGCACATGCGTGAGAAGCGCTGTGCTTTGTGATTGGTCCGGCGTCTTCTGGGACCTGTCCCAGAAGACGCCGTACCATTCACAAAGAGCAGCGCTTCTCGCGCATGTGCACTGGGCACCCGGCTGTCACAGCCGAGAGTCCACACTAAAGAAGCCGGCGCGGGAAGACTGTGCAGCGCAGGACCGAGGAACAGGTCCTACTGCAGAGAAGAGCTAAGCAGCTGGCCCGGTATTCTGACACGGCGGCAGTGGAAATACCGGACTGGCCGCTCCATATTCGCTCCATGAAACGCACTGACATTTTCCCCCCTTTTTTGGGGGGAAAATAGTACGTCTTATGGAGCGAAAAATACGGTATTTGTCCTGGGACTTTAAATGAAGCACAACACACACAACCAACTAGTTTCCAACATTCATTTTTAATAAATAAATAAACTTCTAGATGCTTACAGGGTAAAAAAGAGGATACAATGGTAACATGATGATTTGTAATTATTCCATATTAATGCAATTCATACATAATTGAATATACAATTGACCGTATACAATCCAGATGTCAATACATAATTACATTAAAATTTCATCCATAAACTCAACGTGTTTTGTGACTCTTAGTTCACTTCCTCAGGAGTAGATGCATGCATAATATTAATCAGCTAAAAATACATATGACAGTATTTCCAAATGGTGATCGCCAGGGGAGTCTCACCTGGTAGCTTTGGAAGTATGACTCCGCAAGAATCCAAGGGGACAAGTCAGAAGCAGATTCAAAGTGGTGGGCAATCGTGATAGCACCCAAAGTAATTACATGAATCAAGAGCTGTATGTCAAAGTGTTGCTTCTCACTATCCTCATGGTTGTGTGTGTTGTGCCTCATTTAAAGTCTCATTATACTCACCTAGGTGGATGCAGCATCAAACCGATGCTACATCTGTCCCCTGCTTGCTCTGCAGTGAGAACTGAGCATTCAAACACTGCTGAAAAGTCAATTCTCCCCTTGACTCTGAGCAGAGAGCCGAGACTGTCAGTCTCCAGTTTGCTGCTTTGCCTCTCCAGTGTTCACCGGAATACTGGGCTGTGGAGGGAGCGGGAAGAGTTGGCTCAGTCTCTCCGCAGATCGCTAAGAGGCTGAGCCAGGTGCCGGTCCAAGGTTCTATATGATCATATGATTGGGATCTTTTCAGAGCCTGGACTGGCACTGTGACGTCAGCCGACAGTGGGTGAAAACGGGTCACAGGAGTGCAGAACAAACTGCACTCCTGTAATCCATAGGAGACGTACAGCCAAAAAATCCTTGGCTATACTTCTCGTTTTTAGGCAAAGATTAAAAAAAATATTTGTTCTACAAGATGTAATTTTACTAAACTACGAAGTGATAGGGAGGGAGAGGTTATTTAAATTACACTTGGCACAGGGTCAATAATTTTAACCCACTGTCTGAAATTCCCTGTCTGAGTGACTTCTTGAAAGCAGCATGTTGATTGTCAGATTCCAATAAAATCCCATTATTCAGGTCTTTGGGGGATATAGTAGCAAAATAGTTTTGCAACTGTTATCAGTCTGGTTTCTTTTGCTGTATATGTGTTACATCAGCCGAATTGGGACAAAGATTGCTTCATGTCCAGGCACATGACTTAAAAATGGGTGGTTTCTTGTGTCCAGATTTAGTTTAATGTGAAAATATTAAAAGCAGCTAATGTAATATGCATAATTGTCATAATCATTTTAGAACCGGATTTGATGTTTGCAATTTTGGTAAAATTCTTTCAATTTCAATAAAACTCATTGGTAGGGTTAATCCAGCTTTTTATTATAACTGCTGGTTCAAGCTCTTATATTTGCACCTTAAGTCATTGGTACATATTAATTTGTAGTGCAGCAGCATCTATAAAGGCATAGTAGTATCTTAAAGTGTTACTAAACCCAGAACAGATAAATTAGTCTGTATATGCAGTAAAGTATACTTGTTATACTCACAGTGGAACTTAAGGGGTCAATCCTCCGCATTGTGTAAAAAGGATGCTTGATCCTTTCTTCTCTGATCCTTCCCTTCTTCTACTGTCTCTAATCCATCTGCTGATAGAACAGAGCCTATGGAGCAATATGCACATGCTCAGTTTGATGTGTATTGCTTGAGAATTTAGTTTTTTCTTGGGAGAGTGCATGTGATCAGCACAGAGCTAATCAGTGCTGTCCAGACAGAGGGTCAGAGGTTATGCAGCCTTATAGGACAATCAGTGGAGAATGAAAACTCCTCCTACAAGCTTTAACCAGTGTTCTGATGGACACTGATAGAAGTCACAAGACTGCTCTAACTGCTGATGGGAAAAGATATTTAACAGTTTATATTTGCTAAAATATTTGCATTTCCATGTTCTGTGCACTGTGGGAGAACAGATATGGTGAATGCAGGGTCCTGGGTTTAGCAACATTTTAACATGTGTTGGATAATCGTTGACAGTATAATGGTGTGCCTGGATTGGGTGCAGTATTTTATTTGCCCTCCCTACAAATTCTATGCAGATTTTGGGGATTATTTACCTACTCTTTTATTTTCCATGAAAGCCAAAATGTTTTTCCTTGGTTGCTGTGGTCACACCCACAATGACATTGTATCACACCCTCAGTGATGTTATATACTGTATATAATTTGCTATTAGGTCACTCTAACTGAACTGTTGTATTGTGAATATTATCATACCTCATAACAATGACATTTTTGAATACCTGGAACAACGGCATTTTACATAAACATGAACTTGGAAAGCAGACTCAACAACAGCTTCTTATAACTCTTTCAAAAATATTTTTTTTAATTTCTGTAATATTTATTGTAGAAAATTAGAATGGTAAAATGGTGATAATGGGTAAAATGATGATATTGAGGTTACATGCCAAATCTTTATATTGTATTAAGTAACAGCCTGAAATTACAGAATAAAAATGTGTTTTTTATTTCACAACATATGTATGTTTATCTGTACTCTTTCAATAATATGTAATTTCCATTCTGTCCAAACTCATTTCATAGTTTTTGAAAGGCATGTATCTGTTCTGTAATTAGCAAATTGAAAATATAAAGTTATCTTGCAAAACAACATGAAAGAGCAGCTCTAGAATAAAATGAGTTATATTAGGATCTAATTATTATCTCAAGAGAATATCACTTGTGATCAGATGAGACTGTTGCATGGCATAATTTGGAGACACTTGCTTTGACAGTATCAAAGAGACAAAGAATCACCACCGAAGGAAGAAAAATATTTAATTTAGTCTATTCAGTGGATGCTGGAAATCATTCTCATTTCACTGAGTGCAAGAAAGCCCTGCTGAGCTGGAGAAGGATACTAATTACTTATGTGGGTGGTCATGCAGCAGGAAGCGACTATGGTGCACAGTACAATATGAGGTTAAAAACGAACTCTTGCATAAAATCTTTGTGTCTAGAGTCAACTAAAAAGCCCTTGGATCTGCAAATAAAATCTATGAATGTTAAACCATAATTATTGGCCTTAGATGTTGATCCATCCATCAAATGATGGAGTCCTCCACTGTATGTTAAGCTGTATTTTTTTGTATATAGTTAACCTTCTTAGAAATCTTAAGCCTGATCTGGGGTCTTCTTACTCCATAGTCTTCTCTCACCAGTGGCTGGTCCTACAGATAGCGGTTCTGATGTAGTGATGTTTACTGGGGTAAATGATGCTGGGCGTCATTCAACCTGGAAGACCTAGGACATCTTTTGGCAAAAAGAGATATGTTTATTCAGAAGCTGTCTCCTGAAACATGAGTATTGCAACCAGAACAGTTTTTTTTTATTGCTGAACAATATGAAGATAGCATAATTTAGCCCAGAGTTGGACATTAATTGCTGTCTGTATCTCTTTTGTCACCAGACCTGTAAGCTAGGGGAAATCTCTGTAATGGTGACAAATATAGCAATAAAATTGTGACAGAGATTCTAACTATTTCTCCTACTACTATTAAACATGCTTTTATTAATGTTCCCATTGAAGTATTTACTGTCAATTCTTCTTCTGTCTGAAACCTGTTTCAGGATTCCAAGTTTGTGTGAGGACAATTGTAATGAGGAGCGTGGCTTACTCCTAATATGTCAGCATACAGTAATATAGGAAATGGCAGGAAAAACCTCCTGGGCTAAAATGTGGCCCTAGCACTCAAGCTGCTGACACTAACCTCTTACCTATGTGAGTAAAGTATTAAAATATATATATATAAACAGTGCAGCGCTAAAATAAATGTGCATAAATGTAAATAAATAATGCAAAAACCCCCCAGTGCATAAAGGGGTTAAACTATTATACAGTGCAACACGTGAATTCCCAACGGGAATAATAAATGTGTAAAAGTGACCAGTGTCCGAACCAACACTCTAAAAAATACCTCAAATAACACTGCCGTGATACATACAGAAATTGCACAATAATAAATACAGCAAATAAAATATCCATGAAAGTGCTCAGAACACAATATTCATGCAAGTGCTGCTATGTGTTCACTCCGTGCAAATCCTTAGTGGCCGAAGTGCCCCCTCACCTCCTTAAATCAACCCTACAGGGTCAGCTCGCTCTGAGAATTAAAACCACTCTGAATGGCAACAGGATCCTGTTCAAATCCACTCCCAAGTCCTCTGGTCACCCTGAGGAAGTCACGTGTCCAGCGTGACGCAACGCGTCAGTACGCGAGGAGGTATTTCCAGGTGCGCGGTGACGTCACTTCCGGCGTGGGGGCCATATTTGAAATCCCTGTATCAATACCCATGCAATACATCTATAGCATGAGGATCCGAAGGGGATGCTGCTGACAGAGTGGTGCATAAAAGGATCGGAGGACTTGGGAGTGGATTTGAACAGGATCTTGTTGCCATTCAGAGTGGTTTTAATTCTCAGAGCGAGCTGACCCTGTAGGGTCGATTTAAGGAGCTGAGGGGGCACTTCGGCCACTAAGGATTTGCATGGAGTGAACACATAGCAGCACTTGCATGAATATT